GGGGGCACACTGGGGGGGAGCACTGGGGGCCCGGGGGAGCACTGGGGGCACACTGGGGGGTCACTGAGGGTCTGGGGGTGTCACTGGGGAGTCACTGAGGGTCTGGGAGGTCACTGGGGGGTCAGTGGGGGGGTCAGTGGGGTAGCCAGCCCCCCCTGACCCCCAGGAGCTCCGAGGGCTCCCCAGCCCAGGTGGTGGCCGTGGATCTCCAGGCCATGGCGCCGCTCCCGGGGGTGCTGCAGATCCAGGGGGACATCACCAAGGTGGGGACCCCCCAAAACCCCCTGAGCCCCCCACTGCGCTCCCCAAAACCCCCTGAGCCCCCCACTGAGCTCCGCAAATTCCCCTGAGCCCAGCCATGGCCCCCCCATCCAGCAGACCCCATTCCTGACCCTGTTTCCCACCCTGTGCTCCCCAGATCCTACTAACCCCCCTGCCCCCATTCCAGACCCCATTCCTGCCTCCATTTCCCCCCTGCCCTGCTCCTGCCTCGTTCCTGCCGCCATTAACCCCCCTGCCCCATTTCTGACCCCATTCCTGCCCCATTCCTGCCCCCTTGGTGCCCCCATTCCTGCCCCACCCAAATTTCAATTTCCCCAAAGCACCCCCCCAAAACAACCCCCAGGACCCCCCAAAGAAACATCTGGGACCCCCAGTGTGGGGGCAAAGAACGAGTGTGTGCTGAGCTGGGAACTGGGGGGAACTGGGGGGGACTGGGGGGACGGGGAGAGGGACTGGGGGAACTGGGGGGAGCTGGAACAGGGACTGGGAGGAACTGGGGAGGACTGGGAGAGGGACTGGTGGGACTGGGAGAAGGACTGGGGGGACTGGAAGAGGGACTAAGAAGCACTGGAGGAACTGGGGAGCCCCTGGAGCCAACTGGGAGGGACTGGGGAGTTCCTGCCTGGTGCTTGTGGGTCTGGGGCCGCACTGGGCTGTACTGGGAGGCACTGGGCTGTGCTGGGCAGCACTGGGAGGCACTGAGCTGTACTGGGCAGCACTGGGCTCTACTGGGAGGCCCTGGCCAGCACTGGGCTGTACTGGGAGGCACTGGGCAGCACTGGGCTCTACTGGGAGCCCCTGGGCTGTACTGCAAGGCCCTGGGCAGCACTGGGCTGTACTGGGCAGCACTGGGAGGCACTGGGAGGCACTGGGCTGTGCTGGGAGGCCCTGGGCAGCACTGGGAGGCGCTGGGCTGTGCTGGGCAGCACTGGGAGGCACTGGGCAGCACTGGGAGGCGCTGGGCTGTGCTGGGCAGCACTGGGCCCGGGATGGGAGAGACCCCGGGGGGACCACCGGGACCGGGAGAGCCCCCGGGGGGAGAGCCCCGGATGGGAGAGACCCCGGGGGGAGATGGGCGTGCAAGGAGAGCCCCAGGAGGAACAGCAAGGAGCCTCGTGCGAGGGGATGAGTGTGCAAGGAGCCTCCTCTGAGATGAGTGTGCAAGGACCCCCGTGGGAGGGGGACAGACCCCCGTGTGATATGAGTGTGCAAGGAGCGCTGGGCTGTACTGGGCTGTGCTGGGCAGCACTGGGAGGCACTGGGCTGTGCTGGGCTGTGCCGGGAGGCCCTGGGCTGTGCTGGGAGGCCCTGGGCTGTACTGGGCAGCACTGGGCTGTGCTGGGCAGCACTGGGAGGCACTGGGCTGTGCTGGGCTGTGCTGGGAGGCCCTGGGCTGTGCTGGGCTGTACTGGGCTGTGCTGGGCAGCACTGGGAGGCACTGGGCTGTGCTGGGCTGTGCCGGGAGGCCCTGGGCTGTGCTGGGAGGCCCTGGGCTGTACTGGGCAGCACTGGGCTGTGCTGGGCAGCACTGGGAGGCACTGGGCTGTGCTGGGCTGTGCCGGGAGGCCCTGGGCTGTGCTGGGAGGCCCTGGGCTGT